TCGCAACTAGGTTGCATTACACAATTGAGTGGTTGCAGGTTAGACGAAACCGTTTTCTTCAACACCGATTTTCCGAGTAACATCTTATCATTATTATGGGGACCATGGGGGACCAGAAGAACAGGATTAATTCGTTGCAACTAGGTTAGCCAAGTACAACAAGGTTAATGGAATCCGCAATATCTTCGGTCGGGAATAATTGAATATCGATTTGTTCCCTAGAATTTCCTTTTAATAGCCAGAAGTACAACCAGCGCCATGTGCGGAAAATATAGCCGCAGTCAGCCACGTGAGTATGTAATGCATATAAGGTGAAAACGTTTCAGGGACTAGAGATAGTTTGCATTTACTGGTCTGGAAGCAACTGCGGAAGGCTAGCAACACAGCGGTGAATGATTCAGCGCCTATCCAAGGAAGATTGTCAGTTACCTACGTGCAAGCCGTACTCGTTAATGGGATTACGGAAGAAAAATATCTAGTCTCCTCGACCCGATGCGGTACGTGACAACAGCTTATCATGAAAAGCACAACGCAAAACTCCAGCAAATCTGTCCGCGATCTCACCCTCCATTATCTCGCGAATTCATTAGATTAGCCAACACATCCTCAGACCTTGCAAACGGTAAATATACCCGCAAGTTAAATGTTTCCGAGACGTAGGCAACAATTAACGTCCCATCTAACTGCACGTGAATATTATGTCCACTATCCAATGAGGGCAATGCGGTTATCATTAAATAAACAAATGAATTCGAGAAGAATGGTTGAAAACGTACCTGGATATTTCATTAGCCGGAAGGATACTGGGCTCGTTAAGCCGTCCGTCAAAAGAAACCAGCACGACCCGGTTCATATGTATTATTTACCAGTTCCTCACTGATGGGTCACAAGTGTGCATTGGTCAAAAGCTTGTTCACTCGTGCCAGATGAATCTGCCCCAGAGATTGTCTGACTGAGGAGATAGAGACAATAAGCGGAACACTCATGGAAGACAGTTACCCTAGGCGCCTCATCACGAAGCATAACCAAGTCGGACCGTCGAAAGAAGTGGTGTTGACAGCACCTACAGAAAATGTACACCTCGAGCTCCCGTTTAAAGGAAACACCCCTACCACAAGGGCAACCACGCGCTTTATCTTCGTCAATCAGATAATGTAATGCGCTGCAGATGCTGTGGTGATCAACAGAATCGGGAACATGTCACTACTTTCAGTAAAGGAAGTGGAACGCATCTGCACCAAATCACACTGTATTTACCAGTTTGATTCTACCTGAGGCGTCAGTTAGATAGGCAAAAATGAGGGGGTTTTACATTCCAGAGTGAAGGAACACCTGACCATATGGGTTCAACTTGAGGTCAGCCATCTCTCGCCCAATATTCGGGGTGCACGCAAACCGCCAGCATCATCCATAAGCCGACATGTTTTATTGACACGTTATCGGCTTGACCCCGGCTCCGCATTCCGGCTACTATTACGTCATCCCAATCCACGGTTCGCCTAAGCCCGGACGACACACCAGCTAAGACCAGCCCTGTGTGTGCAGAAACAGTCAGTTATTGACCTGCGGACACCCCGGTCCCAGGACGACAGCCGCCGTTCACCTCACGACATTTGATTAATTGGCAACACCCTTGGGACGGTATAAGATAATATCTAGTTATGGTATTTGCACCGAGGAGACAGTACGAAATGCGCCCATTTACCCGTGATCGTCTTCTCATTGTGTTATTCTAACTGTTGAAGGGAACTGTTTATAAAAGAAAAATAGTTTATTTCTCGGCAGTGCGAGAGACTGTGACGGCATAGGGGCAGATCAACGCTCCTTAAATCGATTTGCAGATTACATGAACCTAGCATGACCAGTTACCCAATGCTAACTGGCTCGACGCTTAGCGAACCGGTGCATTGCAGAATAATAGTTCAATTCATCCATAAGCTCATTCGTATTTGACGTGCGCACTGAGTTTCCGAACGAATTGTCTGGTTGATACAGATCAATGCTTGCGTGGCAAATTATTGAGAATGTCTCCAGCTCGATGGATACGCTTGCATCTAAAGATTACCAGCGCTTGGCCGATTACAGTACGAATATCGTGTAAAATTTTGACATTCTGAACATAGTGCTCAACGATTGTCCTTCGTGTGGCAAGTGAACAATTCCGACCATTAACCGACTAGCGATTATCACCATGTCGAAAGTTCCAGTTCCGTTCCGCAGGTTACGGATGACAGTGAGCATAGTTATATTTCTAATTGTTCTTCAGCCATACTGAATTTACCAGGGCTTATGAAAACGCACATACTAAGCGCACGGGATGCGGAAGCTCAGAGACGCCTATCAGAAGTTGAATTACACATGACCAATCTGTTGGATAGACGAAGTAAAATGTTAAAACCAACGGGAAGAGTACGTCGATGCATTAGTATATTACATCGGAAAGGAATCGTCGCATGGCAACAATCGTTTTATGCGCACCAAATGGCTGCACCCGGAGAAGTACGATGCAGATTTTTATCAAATAGCTTGTGGTCACAACAGAGTACATATGGGTGTGCACAAAATGTTGAATACTTGTACATTTGCAACACAATGCGAACACTGTTAGGAAAGTGACATGTTAGACAGTGGGCAGTGCGACTTAGTTGATGTCACCTGTCAATATCAATGTTGCGCATCAATCGTTCTTTGAGAATGTGCACGTACTTCGGGTGGCACATGACCGGACCGATGGGTGACACGGAGAGCCAGAAGTGGACACTTCATCGCATTTTCATGCTGTGCGATCACCCGCATCAGCTACGCAAAACAGACTGTACATGTAGCCGCCAACACCTAAGTGCACGCTATTTTACTGTACCACTACGTTTTTTATCATTCTTTCTAGTAGTTGCTTCACTATTGCTATATCGGATTCCTTCAAATATGGATGCCCAAGATTTAAGGCTGTCACGTCTAAATGTTGAAGAAAATATCAACAGTACGTATTGTGCACTAACTCTCATGCCTGCGAAAGTGGTTGTTAGCCTGACCTCCAGACGAAACCCATATTTTTTTCGTACCATTGATCATGAGGTCTAATGTGTCTATCTAGTTTGTGATAGCTCACACTTCAGTTTGGATAAACGCATGTGCATCTGTTGTATTCGAACTGCCATTGGACACGGATGACCCCAATGCATGTACATATGTACATCGAATGAATCCGAAAAAAATATACCGCATTTGTACGGCCAACTTAGTGTAATGAAACGGCACTCGGGTAAACCGAAAATAATATTTACCAGAACATGAAGAAAGTGAGTTTATGACAAACTCATGTTGATTACAGGTGTAGCAAACCCAAGGCAAATTTTGACCGATGCGAATTCCGTGGACTATTAGAATGGGTGGCTGCACATGTGCAGGAGAAGGCACTATTGCAGGTGGAATAGAAGCACCATGAGTACGCTCCCATTCGAATACTAATCCAGTCCAATAAGGCGGCGCATGTGGTACGTTTGTCTGTGTGATGAGTAATCTTGTATTTCAGAAGTAGATGTTGCTTGATATCCCCGGTATGGCTACGCCTGATGTGCATGTTGACAAGGTGCCTAACTGTCCATACTGGTTGGTTGTTGCTGTTAGGGACGGGGTGCAGCGTCCTCGTGAAGGCGATAAGCTCAAAGAGTGGTTACATCCTGTGTGGAACGGGCTACGGTCCAGCCACCGTCATATGTACGTCTGGTGTCCCTAATCTCCCAGTTAGGCCGGAATGATTCTGCTCTGCTTGTTGAAGGAGTCTGGGCCGGCTCCGTTGACGAAATGTGGCTCCCATTCACCTGCCTACCGGTCTTATGCCTTCAGGATTACACCGGAGATGGGGTGTGTGGATGGAACAGTGGGTGGTGCAGTTTCACACCGATGGGTCACAAGTGTGCACTGGTGAAAACCTTGTTCATTCGTGCCAGGTGTATCTGCTCCAGAGATTGTCTGACTGAGGAGATAGAGACAATAAGCGGAACACTCATGGAAGACAGTTACCCTAGGCGCCTCATCACGAAGCATAACCAAGTCGGACCGTCGAAAGAAGTGGTGTTGACAGCACCTACAGAAAATGTACACCTCGAGCTCCCGTTTAAAGGAAACACCCCTCCCACAAGGGCAACCACGCGCTTTATCTTCGTCAATCAGATAATGTAATGCGCTGCAGATGCTGTGGTGATCAACAGAATCGGGAACATGTCACTACTTTCAGTAAAGGAAGTGGAACGCATCCGCGCCAAATCACACTGTATTTACCAATTTGATTCTACCTGCGGCGTCAGTTAGATAGGCAAGAATGAGGGGGTTTTACATTCCAGAGTGAAGGAACACCTGACCATATGGGTTCAACATGAGGTCAGCCATCTCTCGCCCAATATTCGGGGTGCACGCAAACCGCCAGCATCATCCATAAGCCGACATGTTTTATTGACCCGTTATCGGCTTGACCCCGGCTCCGCATTCCGGCTACTATTACGTCATCTCAATCCACGGTTCGCCTAGGCCCGGACGACACACCAGCTAAGACCAGCCCTGTGTGTGCAGAAACAGTCAGTTGTTGACCTACGGATACCCCGGTCCTAGGACGATTGCCGCCGTTCACCTCACGACATTTGATTAATTGGCAACACCCTTGGGACGGTATAAGATAATATCTAGTTATTGTACTGGTACCTTTGAGACAATACGAAATGCGCTCATTCAACACTGATCGTCTTTTCATTGTGTTATTCTAACGATTGAAGGGAAC